CCGAGTGTCGGAGGACTGGCACATTGGCGTCACCTTTGATCCCAAGCCTATTGAGGGCGATTGGAACGGCGCAGGTACTTTTAAGTGGTGCAAACATTTAAGCAGTTTTACCAACTGTTTTTGCCTTTTCCTCAACTAGGCGCCCACACCAACTTTAGCACGAAGGCGATGCGCGAAGCGGGTGGCCTGGCAGTCATCGAAACGGCTATGCCGAAGCTTGCGAAGAACCACGCGAAGCACCTCGCCAAGTACGACCCGTCCGGCGGTGCGGACAATGCCCGCCGACTGACCGGCCACCATGAGACCTCGTCGATGAGCACCTTCTCATGGGGCGTCGCCGACCGGGGTGCCAGCGTGCGCATCCCCCGACAGGTAAAACATCTCTCTTCATTTTAATGATGAATATAATCTCACAGTGCCTGACTATGACTCTTCTTTGGTGCTGCCTGCCTAGGTTGCCGACGATGGCCATGGCTACTTTGAAGACCGCCGCCCGGCCGCCAACATGGACCCGTACGTCGTGTGCGAACAGCTGGTGCGCACCGTCTGCCTCGACGAGTAGACGTAGAGCAGTCGTACAGCTGAACTGGACTGCTGGGACACTCACTGGTAGCTGCTGATTCACACACACCACACCATTCACACCATTCACACTATTCACCGGACACTTTCTCTACCTGTCAGCACTTGCCCCCGGACACCGACACCACTACACTAGCACCCCCAAATTGATCACTGACACTCGATCTGACACCCACTTACACACGCCCACTTATTTTTATTTACGTTAACTTTCACAGATACACACACACACATTGAATGAACACATCACACACTAAAGCAAAAGTTCTGATATCTTTACCATCAAGGTCAGCACGGACTATTTTGCAACATCAAGAAAACATTCTTTGTCCACAGGAAAGCACACTACAACACTGCATCAAAATTGAGCTTTTGATTTTATGTCATCACCTCGCCTCCTAGCTCCTCACGGCTCTACAAACATTTTGACACATAACGCCACATAACAACTATATGTGCTTTTCTTTAATTAATTAGCCTTCTTCAATTTTTCTGTAATCATTTTGATATCATATGATGTTGCTGTCATTGTTGTCGAAGTTTAGTGTAGTGGTAGTGGTAACAACACTAAAAAGGTGAAAAATAAGTTTCATGGCTCTCAAAACTAGGGTCGACATGAGTGTGATGAGCACTATTTAGTACGACATTTGGCTCTGAAGTTGTTACAGCAGACGCCACAGTGTCAGCCTCTGCACTGTACGGCGGCGGCAAATATGGCGGTGGAAATGGAGATTCAAAACGAGATGATCCCTCTTCTGGGTCAGCCTACACTTTGCGAGGTCTGATGTGACTTGACCATTGTTAACTTCCGTCGACGAGGGTCTTGCGAGCGAAACGAGCATTGAAACTGACACACCATTATGTGTATGTGTTTTTGCTAACTTTTTTTTATACTAAGAACAAGTAACAAGTAATCGCTGTTTTTAATAAAACAAACATTTTTTGTATTTCTTTGCAAAAAATGAAAGTAAAAGCAGTTTTTTTGTGAAATAGTGCTACTAATTACATTTTGTTAGGTTTTAAAACCTCTATGATTTTAGAACTTGCAAGTATTGCTCTCTCACTCTATTTAGAGTGGCATATCTCACTGTGATGAGTGAGTTATTCTCTAATCTTTAGTTGAATAAACGTTTTCTTTCAGCTCACGCTCTCCCTGCCTTCTAACACGTTATCAGCACGAATGCTCTATGAGCTATCGGCTGACGTGGCAGAGGTTGGCTGATGTCCGAGACTATGGACGATGATGGCCAAGTCTGTTTATGTTTTGCTAGTGCCCTTGAAGATGATGTTCCCGCTGGACTGCCCGTTGGTGCCACGTCAGCAGCCGGTCTTGGATGAAGGAGGGAGAGGAGCTATAAGATGGCCGAGAAAATCGCAAGGAGAAGCTCAAGAGGCATCACCGGCGTGCATCACCAGCACAAAAGCCCCTTTGATGATGATGGGCCCAGGACTTCGCTGCAGAACACAAGTGGTCCTTTGGTGCAGCGTCGTCCTGTTTTTGTTGTTGTTGTTATTTGCCGGCCAATCTGTTTGCCGACTCTTTCACCATCTTCTACTCATTGGCAAAAGATGCCGGTATTATTTAGGTTGTCTTTTTCTTGATGTCTTTTTATTATATATACTAGTGCGAATCTGCTTTTAAAAANATACTAGTGTGAATCTGCTTTTAAAAAGCACTGTTGACCTGACATTTTGTATTGCTTCTTTTTGTTTTCTGTGGGAGAAATATTGAGAAACATTAGTCAAGAATCGACAATGATTGATTGCCCTTACCGATTCTGCTGCAGTCTCAGGCTATTGTACTGTCGGTGGAAGGCTCTCAGCTCCTCAGTCAGTCC